AGAAGTCTGGAACTTCTAATACTGTAACTCTAGCTGCTTATCCAGAAACAACAAGTAAGTTTGCGACTGCTACTTCTTTACATGTTTCTAAAATTGTTTCTAATATAACTGATCCAGTCTCATCCATTCCAACCACCATCACACAAATATCATCTTTTACATCTTTTTCTATTCCACCATTCATCCTCACCACTTCTATTTTTTTTCCTGTTACAAATATCTTACATGTTTCTGATTCCATTTCAACTGAAATTTCGATAACTACAAATGTGTTTGCTCCCCCGTCAACAATAATCATTTTTAAATCCACCACCACCACACAAGCTTTTGCTCCAAATCCTATTCCATCTCTCACTACTATCATTCCATCAGAACCAATCCACAGTTCTACATCTCCATTAACCTCATCTTAATCACTTCCACAAACTTCTCATTTTTCAACTTTTGACACCAATCTTCATTTTGCCTTCTTTAACAGAGAAACCACTCTCCATGACTCACCTATCATCCATCCTGATTCAATTTCTCCCTCTAATCACGAAATGTCTGAAAGGATAATTCCTGATAACCATGGAGCTATTCAAATTTCCACAACTTGACCTTTCACTTGTACTGAACTTTTCAATATGACTGAACAACCGTTATCACAAAATTCTCCTAAACCTGTAACTTCTGAACATATCCCTTCTGAAAGTAACCTAGCCATAATTGTCTATGATAAACCTGTCCCAAAAAATATGAATGAATGCATCAACGAGTTTATAACTAAGGCTATGAAAAAGGTTTCCAAGCTAAGGGCAGAGGCAAGTATTTCTACTATGCCTCATGAAATGGATGATTCTTGGAAGAAGTTTCAGAAATGGATCGCTTCTGAGTTTGAACAAATGAATTATTTTGCTGAAGCATCCAAAGTTTGGGATGTTCAGATGGTAACTGAAAGGAAAGAAGCACAGGAAAGAGTTAGAGTTCTTGAATTATTTGCTACTAAGAAAAAAGAGGCAGAAGCTAGAGCGCTAAAAGAGGAAGAGGAAGTCGGACTTAAAGCTCAAGAGGAAGAAGAAGCCAGAAAAGCTGAAGCAGCCAGATTGGCTAAAGAGGCAGAAGAAGCTGCTAAGGCTAAAGAAGATGCTCTTGTTGCTTCATCTTCTGATCCTGCCATTACGCGTATGGAAAATGCAATTGGTGAGATTAAAGGAAAAAAACAGTTGTTTAGAGAAAGCATCATTGAACAGAAGGTTGTCAATGAGAATGTTCAGAACATGCTATAGCTGATTCTGCAAAAGATTTATGCTCCTACTCCTGAACCCTAGGCTCTAGGATTTTATTTTTCCTTTTGCTTCTAAACCATAGGACTATGCTTGATTCTTACTTTTTGTGACTACTATTTTTATTCTAATTATTTGATATTTCCGCAAGTCTTCTTTTTGGACCTTAGTTTGTTCTACTTCCTTCGACTCACTTCTTGTGTGACCTTTTGAAATTAATGAAGTCTTCTTTTGGTATATCACTTCTTTTCTTACTTGTTATCTTCATCTGGTTTTTATGTTTTTCACACATAATTAGATTTTTGATTATGACAAAAAGGGGGAGTAATTAAATGAACGTAATTTTGATTTCAATAATCAAGTTCTGGAAAATGTTCTCTAAAAAAAGTTGCTTACATTCTAACCCAGTTAAAATTATGTTTCTGTTAGAATTGTTTTCTTTTCAGGAAATTAGAACTCTGATTAAAGACAAAGCTCTGAATCCAATAATTGAAATATGGAATAAGACTCCAAGAATTGAGAATCTGGAAGCTGTCTTGGTGACAATAAAGATTCAAGATTTCAATTGATTTCATTTTCATTGGCATCTAGAGTCAAGACTATCAAGATCTCAATATCTTATCTATTGGAACCAGAGGGAGTTTTTACTCAAATGGTTCATAATTAGGATATTCGAGCTTCATCAAGTCATTGACTCAGGGGGAGTTTCATAAAAAGGATAAGTATTCCTTACCTTCTTATTTTCACTTTTTCTGATTATATGGACAAAATAGTGTCATCAAAATACATAGTTTTGTCATCATTAAAAAGGGGGAGATTGTTAGAACAAGATTTGGTTCTGCAATATTATCTGAGTTTTGACGATAACAAATGAGTAGGTTTATATGAATAACTTTGATACTCTAATATTTGTTATTTTTTAGTATTTAACAAACAGGTTCTGCTTCTGATGGATGGTGTATCCAAGACATTAGAAGAGAATTAATTCCACTTCTGCGCTACACAATTTCTGATGAACAGTAGCAAGACACTCCAGAAGACTTTGAAGTGTAGGCTCTGATATGAAGTCTAAAGAAACCACTCAGAAGATCTGAAGACAGAAGTTTCTACTTAAGTCCAGATGTTAAAGACTCGTGTTTCTGAAGACAACGTGTTATAAAGAAACAAGTCAATATCTGAAGACAAAAGTTTCTACTTAAGTCCAGATGTTGAAGACAAAGGGTTCTCAAGACCAAGTGCTGAATATTCTGATAGGCGGAGTTCTAAAGACTCTGAAGACTTGAAGCTCTAAAGACCCATGGTTCTAAGAAAAGGGTTCTAAAGGCCAAGTGCTAAAGACTCTGAAGACAGAAGTACTAAAGAATCTAAAGACTTGAAGTTCTGAAGACCCAAGGTTCTAAGAAAATGTTCTCACGACCAAGTGCTGAAGACTCTGAAGACGTTGTTCTGAAGACTCTAAAGACTTGAAGTTCTGATGACCTTATGTTTTGTTCTCACTTCTAAACTCATACTCGCAGAATTCTTTGAATTGCAGAAGGAAAGAAGATAACGTTAACATGGTACAATCAACATTTCATTCCACTACCATGAAAGGATGGACGCATTGCATGATCTTGTCCCTGCATGATTTCTCAAGCTACCAATGTTTTTGGAAATCCCAAGAGTACCCCTCAATGGATATATTATTTTATTGGCTATATAAAGGCTTGAAGACTATGAGAGAAAGCTGAAGTTAATTTACTGCATATCCACGCAAAAGCCTTATTCATAGATTTCATATTCAGCTTGTGTAGAAGCAATATTATTGTAAACAAAACTTGTATTCAAACAATTGTTTGATTTCTTTAAAGGGTCGGTTAGGTCTGTATCCTTAATAAGTCTAGGACTAGTGTGTCTTAGAGGTTTGATTTTCCTTAAGGGACCGGTTAAGTCTGTATCCTTAAGAAGTATAGGACTTATGTGTCTTACATGTTGTTAGTCACTTGCGAGTAGCTTGTGCATTGTAATAATCAGTTGGAATATTGGATTAAGTTCTCAACTTAGAGAGGCGAAATCACCTTGGCGGGTGGACTAGACTAGCTTGATAGTTTTCAAGTGAACTAGTATAAACATACTTTGTTCTTTACTTCCTGTTCTTAATTATTGTTATTATCAAGAGTAAAGGAAAAAGTATTTTAATTAAAGGGAAATATTTTTAAAAGAAAAGTTTTGATTTAAAACCCAATTCAACCCGCCCTCTTTCTTGTGTTCTTCGGGAGCAAGAGTAATAAAAGCTCCAAGATGTATTGTTAGATCAATAAAAGAATAAGGCCAAGAAAAGAGAGCCATTTGAGTTATGTAGGAAGAGCAACAAAAGTTATTGTTCTGGTGTGCCTCGTCAGGCGAAGCCTGGGCGAGGAGCCTTCGCGTCGGCCTCGTCGGGCGATAGAGGGGCGAGAGGACTAGATCATTTTTCCAATAGCTACTGATTTGGGCTCGCCAGTAGCTCGTTGAGCGAGAAATGAGGATGTCGTCGGGAGAAGCTTCCCTTTGCCAAGCGAGGATAGATATTTTTGACCAGTTGCGTATGTGGCGCAACCTGGGCTTTGTATTTAGGAACTGTCGTCGGGCAACGCTTTTATGTCGTTGGGCGACGCTTGCGGACCAGAATTTTGTATATATTTCATTTTCATTTCATTTTGTTTGTATATGATTTTGGGGATAGTTTTTGCTCCCAACTCCATCAATCCTCATTTTTCTTTAGGTTTAGCTTAGATAATAATTATGGAGCTTGCATATGGATGATTCAGGGTGGATTGCTCTTCGGTCGACGCTGGCAAACTGGGATGTTTGTGGTTCATTTATCTTTTTTGTGTATTCTCTTTTAGTTGGGTTTGTATATATATTTACTTTAATCTTATGTATATTTGTCGCTCATGGCGTTATATAAAATTTTCTTTACAAATCTTTGTGGATTGTTATCCTTGATTTTTGCTTTGTGCTAGGGATTTGGGTTGTTATAGACATATACTGCTCGAATTCTTATCTAGGATGATAGTCTATTAGTTTCTAGATTCTAGATATAGATTTAGAGTTGGAATTCACTTGGGTGTCTGTGATTAATGCATCTGTGTTGGTTGTGTTGACTGAGAGATCGTGAACGCGAGTAGCAACATTGACTTTTGCGTTGTTGAGGTTGGTTTAGAGATCTTTGTTGTGATGATATAGTGGGTGTTATGTTTGACATGTGATGATATTGACGAGTATCGTAGATTGAGTATAATTAGTCGATAGGTTTAAGTCTATGAGGAGTGGATTATATGCATGCTTGATAAGTTATTCCTTGGAAGAATGCATTTTTTTTCTTGTCAATAGTTTTTACCCTTTCTTTACAAACAACCCATTCCCCCCCCCCCCCCCCCCCCCCCCAAATTCATTAACGAATGATTTGTCGAATGGCGAATCGATAACCAATATATGTGGGCACGATACGCTCTAACCTAAATATCACCCGGTAAATTAATAACTTACCTTTTGCTTGCCTCTATGCCACTACAACAACAGGATAAGTGATTTTCCGGACTCACTTTTGGATCATATTCTCTCATTCCTTTCGAATAAAGACGCTATAGCCACAAGCATTCTTTCAAAATTTCGGAAACCACTCTGGTGCTCACAACTTATCCTCTACTTGGATGACACACCCTTTCCACACACACTTTTGCCTTTCTCCAATTCTTCAATTCCTTCATCACCATGAGAGATAACATCCTACCCATCCTTTCTTTCCACCTTAAATCTCGCCTTCACTTCATCTTCTGCAACCACCATTTCCACCATTTTGCTTATGTTGTAATTACACGACAGCTCCAAACCCTAATCATCGATCTTCTCCACCCAACCACACTTCCTTCTACGTCTAGAGTTATAACCACAAAAACCTTGTTGGTCCTCAAATTGAAGGGGGTAACATTGAACGATGACTTTCCATTTGTTGATCTTCCCTCGCTCAAAGTCCTTTACTTGGAAAATGTCACTTTCAAATGTATTGCGTATTTTCACAAACTTCTATCTGGTTGTCCCATTCTACGGGAGTTGGAAAGTACCCCCTCCGTTTCTTTTCAAGTGTCACTTTTTAGAGAAAATTTATTTATTTTTAAGTGTCACATTTCAAAGTTCAAGATAATATTGATTATAGTTTTGTCAAAATTACCCCTAATTATTATTATAGAGAGAGAAAAATTTAAATAGATTATTAAAAAGTTAAAGATATTATAGAAAAAAAATCATTGTTTAAAAAATAACAGTAATCATTAATTGTCTTAGTATATGTAAAAAATTAAAAAATGACAATTAAAAAGCAACTAATGAAGTAATAATTTAAGAATAGAAATCCCTACTATGATGCCTCCTTTAGATATTGCAATATTAAATTAGGTCAGAGCCAGTGTTTCCGGTAAAAGTTTTATTGGCCTTGAGTGGCTTCATAATGTGGAGCATCTCCACATGTATGTGGTATGTATCGATTTACGTAGCATCAAAACAACTAGCACTGACATTAGTGATTTTCTTTAATTTACATATATATCTTTTCAAATGATTAGGTCGAGATTATCTTTAATTTATAACTATATCTTTTCAAATGATTTGCAGTGTCACTGTTTAAGTGTCGGGGTGGTGTTTGGAGTGTTTGTACTTGATAGGGATCAATATCTCACTTGATCAAATTTATCAATTGTTTCATACCAACCTCTTTGTATCTCAACGCAGAACAGGATGCCACCTACTATACGCAGTGTGTTTCACAATTTAACCCACCTGGAGCTTATATTCAACTTTGAAGATTCATTTTTCGGGTCTGAAAAGTGGATGTGGCTCATAAATCTGCTTCAAAATACCCCCAACCTTCAAACTCTTATCATTCATGGTTATCATTGTCCCCTCTCCTTTTTTTCTTCTTTTATGAATCTGAAATTTTATATCATTCAGGTTGATGTTGATTTACACTATTACCCTCCTAAAGAATGGGAGGAAGCAAAAAATGTTACAGAATGCCTTTTATCTCATCTTACAGCATGCTCAGTTGTAGTCAGTCAATGAAGTGTCGTTGTGGGCTCTGAAAAATGCGGTTGAAGAAATTGCTCCAATAGATGTTTGTAGGAAGTCTGGACTGTCTCCCTCTATAACTTACAGAAAGAAGCTCAAAGAGGTTTATAATGGGCGCCAAAATATGTTTCTGAACTGTCTCCCTCCGATAGTGTTGCTTGGAAAACCATGAGTGGAATTCAAGACAACAAGCATTTCATTTTTTCAGCAGATGGGCAAGAACACCTCCCTTTTGTTTCAACGTCGAATGGATGCTTAAAGTTGAATCGCTAAAAAAGATAGCATCTGTTCATCTCACAGATGTGAAAGTTCCCTTGACAGGACACTGTTCAAGGTATAATAATTAATGAGTTGGTCTTCATATTTCTTTTATAAGTGTTATTTTTGTGAAAAAAAAATTTTCTATTTAATTGTTGTTTTCAAATTTCAAAGCAGTAAATATGAAGGTTTTGTCAACATTACTTTTAATTATTTATTATAAGAGAGAAAAAAATGTATTAAAATGATTAATAATTAAAAATATTATCGACAAAAAAACCATAGTTTAAAAAAAAAAATTATTAGTTTTTTTAATATACGTAAAAAATCAAAATATGACAATTAAAAAAAATATCAGAGTATTATTTTGGATATAGGAAGCCTATATTTAATATTATGTTAATATCATTTTCAGAATGTATTGTTGTTGCATTGGCACATCATAAAACTGTTTTCCAACATTTCTAACTTCCATCATTTAGTTGCATCCATCATGGGTGGGCTTTGAAAATGAGGGTCATTGTAGTTATATTTGGTAGTCATTCCGTCTCATAATAAGTAATCTATTTGGAATAAATTAGTGTTTCAAAATAAATCATTCATTTCAATTTTCAATATTTTTTTTTTAATTTTATCTTCTAATTAATTAAACTTTCATTATTTTCAATCTATGATTAATGATATTATAATAAAAATATTATTCTCTCTTGTTTTTCTACACTTTTCTTAATATGTGAAATGATGTGGTGGGTCACTCATTGTGGAACAAAGGGAATAGCTTAAAAAAAATTATTTGTATATTTATGAATACGGATTCAGTACTGTTTTTATAAATCTCACTGTCTCTCTCTGCTGAGAGCTTGTGTGCTCTTTATAGACATTGTTTGCTTTGTGGTTTGATGAGTCAGTCTCCTCGATTTATTCATTAATGAAATTAAGAATGCCTCGAGTTCTAAGCAGAAGCCAATCATGCCACAAAAACATTTTTCCATGTATATAGTGGGAATAGAGTAACTTATTGATTATGGTTTATGCACAGTCAAGTGGACAACATCATTGTCAATTTGCATAACCGATTTGTTTGTTAGGAAAATTAACGTGATTCTGACGTGTTTCTTATGCAGCGTCTATTGTATGACAAGTTCTTGCTGAGAAATCTCACACATGGTAATGAATTTTAAAGCAAGTGAAAGTGAACTAGAGATTCTGATGACACATAATTTGATGCCAATAGCTCTAGCGTTGGTAGTCAATCCACATATGAGTGATATGAAATCTTGTCACAGGAAGATATTGGGTTGAGACGTGCGAAGCTACTCTGGAGCCTTTGCTGCTTCTCTTGATGATGTCACTGATGAAGAATTATTTGTCATCTTCGTGACAGGTTGGGTGTGGAAGAACAATATAGCAATTGCAGGCATAAACACATATCAAATTTAAAAATCTTTGAAGTTTGAATTATATTTTTTAGTGATAAGCTGATAGGCCTAAACATAGACATAAGATCGGTTAAATATTTTCTATATATTTTGAAGTCCAGAATTGGATAGGTTCTTTCTCCATACTATGGGAAGTTGAATAAAGACCCAGTGGTAAACATATGGGTGTGAAGCAAGTCTTTCTCCCCAAATCCAACCCTCACCTCAACTTTTTCTTGGATTGTGAGATCAATTTTTGTCTTCTGTTAACCATCCCTATATAGTTCACCTTCTTCACTACTTCCAAGTAAGAATCTTCCTTATTTCTTATTCAAAAATTGGATATGTTTAATACTTTTTGTAGTTACTTGGGGTAATGGATGTGTGCAATACTTATTTGTCATTTGTAACTATAATACATTGAGACCTGAAACATTTTGTTCACATTGGGTGCTTTTGTTGTGGAATCAAAACATTGTTCTATTAAGCCACGACGCTGATGCAGTGCTAAAAATTGTTGATTTTAGTCTCTCAAGTGTTAGAAGTAATTCATATTCAGAAGATGTTGTTATTCAGAAGCAGTAGAGCTTCTGAGGTCATTAGTCAGAAGTTGTAAGCTTCTGAGACTGTTTAGTTAGAAGCAGTAGTTTGATATATTCATGAATTTGTTATTAGTCAGAGCGGAAGCTTCTGAGGTTACGCCTAGAAGTATGCTTAGCTTCTGGGGTTCTAGAGCTGAGTTTGTTAGCGTAGCTGTTAAGTTTAATATTTTCTAGTTTGTACCATTTAACTTAGTCATTAAGTTTACTTTTATTAGGGCCTACATGACAATTTACTTTGTGTATAAATAGACTAGTAGTAGCTATTATTTGTAACCGTAACAATAGTTATTGTTCAATCATTCTTCCTTACAACTTTATAGACGTCGTTACAGAGCTTTAGTATTATTCTCTCATACCTTTCTTCATTTATTAACTTTGTGCGCTAACAATTGGTATCTAGAGCTCAGGTTTAATCCACAGGGAAACACGAGTGAAATGTGAGCATTTGTGTGATTGATTTTGGTTCTAGGTTCATGTTGAATCATTGAACAAAATCGAAACATAATCACATTTTCTGATTCTGTGGGATTGGGAAACACAGTGCTTGTGAGATCTGAGTGAGTTGTACAGGGTTAAGGATAAACGGAAGCGGCAATCGGAGTACCAAACTTCCTATTTTTGATGGCAAGAACTGGAATTGTTGGATGATTCAGATGCGTGTATTTTTCGGTGCTCAAGATGTTCTTGAGCTTGTTACCAAAGGCTATATTCCAATTGCAAAAAATACAACGGAACAATAGAGAAACGCACAGAGAGACAAGAGGAAGAAAGATCATAAGGTGTTGTTCTACATCCATTAGTGTGTGGATGTGAACGTGTTTGAGAAGATTGCAGATTTGATGATGTCAAAGGACGTGTGGGATATATTGGTCATATGTTATGATGGTGACGCATCAGTGAAGAAGGTGAAGCTTCAGTCCTACAAAAGCAATATGAGAATCTCAACATGAAGGATAATGAGAAGGTTTCTGAGTACATCTCTAGAGTGATTCTGATCACTAATAAGATAAAGGCTTGTGGAGAAACCCTTTTTGAACAAATAATCATTGAAAAGACGCTTACTCCTCAATTAGATTACATTGTTGCAGCAATTGAACATTCTAAAGATCTGGACACCATGAGAATAGAAAAACTGCAAAGTAGTCTAAAAACGCAAGAGTTGAGTTTGACTGAAAGAACTTCTGAGAGGGAAGTTGAGCAGGCTCTGAAGGCTTCTTTTGTCAAGAAGGACCAGAAGCAGAAAAAACATATTAGGTCTCAGAAGTCAGAAGTCTTTTGATGAGAAAAAACATCAGGAAGAAAATGAGAAGTATGACAAGAGAATGATTCAATATTATTGTTGTAATAGGTTTGACCACTTTGCTAAAGATTATTGGTCAAACAAAGAAGAAGCAAAAATAGCCAGAGAAGATTTTGATGATGAACCTGTGCTATTGATGGCTTATGAATCTGATGATGAACCTGTGAGATTGTCATTTTCTGATTCTAAGGAGAAGAATATGACTCTGAATATTTTGACTTTGAATGAGTGTTTGAATATGAGTCCGAATTAGAAGATAACGCTGAAGATTCTGAAGATGAGTCAGAATCTGAGGTTCTCAAAGATGAGTCAAAGTTAGAAGATGACTCTGAAGCCGAAGACAATTCAAAATTTGAAGGTGATTCTGAGTCTGAAGAAGAATCATAAGATGAGTCAGAATCTGAAGAAGATTATGTTCTGAAGATGAGTCAGAATTTGAAAGTTCTGAAGAAGAGCTAGAGTCAGAAGATGAAGAATCTTCTAGAGACTCTAAAGATGAGTCGAATGGTGAATTTGATTTTGATTTTGATGATGATCCAGAGTTTGGTGGTGATCATACTTCTAGAAGGGAAAACTATGAAGACGTAGGTTCTAGAGGACAAGCTTTTAGAGATAGATGATCATATTTTTGGTGGTAATCATGACTCCGAAGGTGGACCTTTTGAAGGAGAAGCTTCTGAAGGTGATCCAACTTCTGAAGGTGGTCATGATTCTGAAGGTAAAATTTATGAAGGAAGAGCTTGTAAAGGTGATCCAACTTTTGAAGATGGTACTTTTGAAGGTAGTGGTTCTGAAGAAAGTCCAGAAGCTAACAAAGGTAGAGCTTCTGGTGGTAGTCGGACTTCTGAAGAAAGTCCAGAAGGAGATTTTGTTATAGAATCAGAAGGAGATTCTGAATAAGTACAGAGGCCACAAAGAAACAAGAGTTAAGTGTTAACTGAGCTTTCAAAGGAGAAGAAAGCCATCAGCGTCAGATGAGTTTTCAAGGATAATCTGTATTTCTAAATGGAGTATTAGAAGTTGTACATTGTAGCAACCAGAAACAACTTGCAGATGTTCTGACGAAGGATATCAAGACTGAACACTTTATCCGTTTAAGGGATAGAATTGGTGTTTAAGATTTTTGGTTAGTTGAATATGAATTAAGGGATGGTGTTGGAAGTAATTCATATTCAGAAGATGTTATTATTCAGAAGCAGTAGAGCTTTCGAAGTTGTTAGTAAGAAGTTGTAAGCTTCTGAGACTTCTTAGTTAGAAGTAGTTGTTTGATATATTCATGAAGTTGTTATTAGTCATAAGTAGAAGCTTCTGAGGTTACGCCCAGAAGTATGCTTAGCTTTTAGAGTTCTGGAGCTAAGTTTGTTAGGATAGCTGTTAAGTTTAATATTTCTTAGTTTGTACCTTTTAACTTACTTATTAAGTTTACTTTTATTATGGCCTTCGTGGAAATTTACTTTGTATATAAATAGACTAGTAGTTGTCATTTGTAACAGTAACAACAATTATTGTTAAATCATTCTTCCTTACAATTTTATAGCCGTCATTGCAGAGTTTTAATATTATTCTCTCATATCTTTCTTCATTTATTAACCTTGTTCACTAACATCAAGGTAGTACATCAGTTAAGGGAGATGAGTATTTGGAAGACAAATCATTTATTTTGATTTTATTATTGTTCTCACCAACTTTTGCAACATTTTTGCCTTGAATTCAATGATTAGAATTGCATGCTCGGGTGAGTATGTTGAGGCAGTTTGTACAACTCCATGATACATGGCTCGTGAAGTTCTTCAGTTCCAGAGATATGATCCTAAGGTATCATCTCTCACGCTCCTTATACTTTTTCTTTTAACATTAAATTAACTTGGTTTATTGAAATTTATTTAATAATTATAGGCAGATATGTGGAGTGTTGGAGCCATTCTTTTTGAGCTTCTAAATGGCCTCCCACCATTTAATGGCAGAAATAATGTTCAGGTTAGTAATAACATTACTTTAAGCATCTGTCAAAAAATATTCAAAAAATTTTAGTCCGAGATCATTGCTGATATTAAAAATGCTGAATCGTTGAAAAACATCAGATTCCGTATATGTCTTCCATTTTCTCAGTTGATTCTTCCTGAATTGGATCCTACCTGTCTAGATATTTGTTCAAGATTACTATGCTTAAATCAAGCTTACTCATTTAATCACAAATCCACACGTGCACCGACATTTATGTTCACTCAATTTCTTGTGGAAATCTAATTGTTTATGACGTATGAAGTGTATGTTTGGGTTGACGGTGAACAAAATTGATTCTAGTACAATTGAATTTGATAGAATTGATTTTAGCATAATTGAATTTAGTATAATTGATTTATGTTTATATGCATTTATGTAAAAGTGAGTAGAACAATAAACTTCACGTAAAAATCATTCATAAACAATTATAGAGATAAAAACTATAAATTTTAACTTCAAGTAAAATCAATTTCGGAGACAGAATCAATTCTACTTTTAACAAACCAAACACTTTAAAATCACCCAGAATCAATTCTACATGTGTAGAATTGATTCTGAATTTTATAGAAGTGGAACCATACATACACGAAGTATTTGCATCATGTTGTAGTGGAGCTTTTATCATTTGATGAATTTTATTTGCATAGCTTTCTAAGGGGAAATCGTTGGCACCTTGACAATTATTCTACGGTTTTGGGTGTTAAGAATATCATTGGACCGGTGTTTTAGAATTTGAATCATTTATGAGCAGATGCAGATGAAATAATGATCTAAATAGATATTTGTTGAAGAAATAAGCCTCATCTTTCGCTTGATCAAGATGGACCTATGAAATTATGATCTATCTGATGGATCAGCAGAGTGGGTATTTTTGTTGAGCACTCTGTGTATATGATCTCATGAAAGATTATTGTATTGTTTTGACACATTATGTATTGTTTTATTTTTGTGAGATGGACAGCTATTGAACCTTAGTTTGTTGATAGTATGGTGTAATTGTCATTCATTTCACCTTAAATTATTTTTGTAAACTATATTGTATAACCTTTTTTATAAAGAAATCGTTGTGAGAGAGAGAAGAGAGGCTGATTTGATAAGATGTAAGATGTAAGAGGCGTTAACCTATATTCTATTCTGCTCTTATTTATTTATAAATGACAAGAAAACCAATATTTGTAAAAAAGTTATACGGTGTAATGTATAAATCAAGTGTAAAGATAGCATTTCTGTAAAAAGGTTATACGGTGTAGTTTACAAAAATAACTTATCAAAACTTTACCATCCCGTTCTTTTCCAATTGCACGGCGTTCTTTGTTAATAAAGTTCCTCACGTCTTTTTCACAAAAGGAAATATTTTCATTCCCTCTTGCATCTTTAACTAGCGATTGAAAAATCTTGTTGATCCTTACTCCAACATCATCATTGATTTGGATGTTCTCCCCACATGTAAGTTAATTTTCTTGTTGGCCTTGAACAATCTTGCTTTAGTATGGCTAATCTCATGAGAATGGTTAGATTCAAATTGTGTAACGTACCACAAACCATCGTCTTTCATTTTAATATAAATCTTGGCAGGACAATTTTTTTGGTCTAGATGGTAATGTCTTAAACGTGCATGATATTTTTGAAATGTTTGACTCCTCTCTTAAACATGAAAGTATTAGGTAATTGAGCTCCCCATCATCTCTCTTTTTTGATGATCTAATCCTCCATCCGAAACCCTTTTTCAAAACATACTCTTGATAATATGTTTTAACTTCCTCTACACAGGAAAAACACGTCCCAATTTCAGGAATCCAACGTGAATCATCGTCAACGTCATCACCATCACCGTGACCAACTTCTACATCTTCTCTTTGACTACCTCCACAATCTATCAAAATGTTTGAACTGTCCATTATGACACAAAAACGGCACAGAATATGCCAATTAGATGTATAACATAAATTTATAACAAAGTTGATTAATAGTGTGCAAAAATATAATTAATATTGTGTGTAACTTGGTTATTATACTCCTACACATAACTACACGTTTATAACATTCTTTATTATACAATTGGTTAATAGTGTCACACAAGTTGGTTAATACAATGATTAAAATGGTTAATGAATCAAGTAGAGTAAATGATTAAAATGATTAGCAGTAAATAAATGTGGTTAACGTTGCGACCGAAGATAGTCAATACAATTCACATCACGGTTAATGAACAATCAACCAATTAAAATATGAAATCAACAACATTCTTTATTCATCTTTCATTATAAACAACACAAAATTTGATTCAAAAAAAGAAGATTGATATTATTAGATGAAACTTTAATGATACCTAAAAATTTAATGAGCTAAATCTTCATCTTCATTGCTTAATAATGTCAAATAAAATTTTTTTTCTTAATGAGTTAAATTTTCTTCATTACATAAAATCTTCATCTTCATTGACAATGGTTGGAGATCTTGTAAAAAAATGGTGGGAGACGGGAAAAAGGAAATGGCACGGAGGAGTGAAGACAAAGAAGAAATGGTGGGACAGCTAGTAAAGATGCGATTGGTGTTTCGAGAGAGAAAAAGAAACAGCCTTCTTATGGCCCACATCTTTTCCAAAACAGTTTTACATTATTTTATTGGTTTATTTGAGTATAAGTGAATGGACTATTTCTGTACTTTTCAATATGCATTTACAAAAGTATATCTATACACAAAAAGTTGCAAAGGTTATGGGTGTACATATATCATATCTCTTGTTATAAGTAATGTTGTAGATTCCAGCAAAATGACGGTAGAAATATTGCTAAGCTTTTCAATTTATTGATACACACCGATGAAAAGATTAGAAAAAACTGCAATGTCTGTATCCCATGTTACATATGTATAACAATATTTTACCATTACTATATATACATACATAGATCAGAAGAAGGTTATTGCCACGCCACAGGTTTTTCTTACATGCAAAATTTCTATTATCATGTACAACTACTTGAGGATCTCAAGCCTGAAATGTAATGAACAATCACAAGATAAACGGTGCTTCTGCCTGATAAAAGTTGCACTAAGCAAAGCAACATTATATGTTCACTCAACGATCTTCCCTTTGAGCAGCGTTTGGATCAGACATCATATTCATCATCATTTTCTCGGGTGAATCCTCCCAATTGGAAAATGTCTTCAGGTCAATCTACAAAATAGCATGATAACGCAATGTTATTATAATCACTGATGTTCTTTGATTTATCAAAATTTAACTAATACTTCCGTTTTAATCGTTATTTTTTTACTTTTTACACATACCAATGGAGCTAATGATTGTTATTACTTTTCAAACAATAACTTTTCTTTTACCTATAATACCCTTAACTTTCTATTATCTTGACTTACTTTTTCTCTCTCTATGATAAATAATTAGGGGTACTTTTGACAAAACTATCACCACCACTACTTTGAATTTTGAAAACGACAATTTAAAAGAAACATGAAATTTTCACAAAAAATGACATTTAAAAAGGAAGAGAGGGAGTATTAGCAACAACTAATTGGATAGGGTAGCATACTTTTCGTCTTTGCTCAGTGAAAAGATCTTCTCTCTTCTTATATGAGTCTTGCACTTCCTTTGCTGCTTTCCCACCGAGTCCCCAAACTTCAACTTCTGAAATGAGAGCTTCAGTAGGCAGGAAACCCTGACGCACAAGATAAACCAACATGAAGACAGAAATATGGAGTCAAAGAGAGAGGTGCAGTTCATTAATCATAAGTCGCTTATGGCCACAATAATTTTAACCAGTTACTGTATGCTTTCTATATAATGCACACTCAAGCCTCTTCTTAGGTAATTGATATCAGCTGATAATAAAACCATTATCGAGAGACAATGAAGGGTAATAGAGTAAATAGGGCTTAGTGTATGTTAGTTATACCAGCTGTATTCTGTTAGTTTGTTATGCTGATGTGTAACAATTGTTTTGATTCTAGCTGCTCTATATAAGAGCCTCTGTATTCTTTCATTGTGATTGATCAATACATGACATACATACTTCGCTTTATCCTTTTCTCTCTTATGATACTCTATCATGGTATCTAGAGCATTCCTTTTTCCGATCCAGTGACCTTGATCTATGGCATCTCCGTTTCGCAACGACGGCGCGTTTCCTTCTTCGCACGTTAAGCTCTCACATCTTATCTCCGTCAAGCTTGATGATAAAAACTTCAAGCAATGGAAACAACAAATTGACGGCGTTGTTCGTGGCCACAAGCTTCAACGCTTCGTCATGGTTCCGGTGATTCCTCAGCGTTCTCCTTCGACTTCCGATCCTAACCTTAGTGAGGTGAACGATGTTTATCTTGATTGGGAACAACAAGATGCTCTCATTTGCACGTGGCTTCTCTCCACGATCTCAGATTCGCTGCTTCCAAAGCTCGTTGACTGCACACACGCGTGGCAGGTTTGGACGGAAGTACATCGTTACTTCGCCACGCTACTCACGACGAAAGCACGTCAGCTTTCGCTCGGAATTGCGGCGTCTCTCCAAAGGTACTCTCACAATTGAGTCGTTCATGGTGCGTGTTTGTGAAATCAATTAATCCTTGATCTCAATTGGGGATCTTGTTCCTCTTCGTAACCTAATCGAGATAGTTCTTATGCACTTCCTGAGGAGTACGATTCTATTGTCGCTGTTGTTACTAGCAAGGAAGATCTTAGCTCTTTGGATGAACTCGAGTCTTGTCTCCTTGCACACAAATCGAGATTGGAAAAGCATCGCAAAGCGATCCTCATGGAACCGGTATCGGTCAATTTGACGCAGGCTCCGTCGTCTGACTCGTCTTCTCCGGTGGAACCTTTGTCGCCTGCTACAGAGTCGTTTCCCACTGGTACTAGTCACGTGACTGCTCATGCTGAAAACAACAATTACAACTCCAGAGGAGCTCGTTCTGGCCGTGGTGGTGGTCGTTTTGGCCGTGGCGGTGGCCGTTTTGGTAAGCCTCAATGTCAGATCTGTCACAAAAGTGGACATGATGCTTCTTTTTGTTATTATAGGTATTCGCAATCCACTTCTATGCAGTTTTCACCTCAACGTGCTCCCTTCAATCCTTTCTTGATGAATGCTCGACCAGTGTATGCACCTTCTTTTGGTTATGCTTCTCCTAGACCAGCTGCATCCAGACCTTCTCTACCACAAGCGTTTATGGCGAGTTCTGACCCAACCTTCAGCAATCAGTGGTGGTATCCTGATTCAGGTGCGTCACATCATGTTACACCTGATTCTTCGAATGTGTCTGATGCTCACTCTATGACTGGCTCTGAGCAAGTATTCATGGGGAATGGCCAAGGTTTGTCTATCAACTCTATAGGTTCCATGAACTTTACCTCACCTAACTCTCCTCACAAACCACTCACCCTACACAATTTACTCCTTGTACCTCACATCACCAAAAACCTTATCAAAGATAGCAAATTTGCCCAAGACAATCAGGTTTTCTTTGAATTTCACCCTTACTTTTGTCTTGTTAAGTCTCAGGCTTCTTCTGAAGTGCTTCTCCATGGAGTTGTAGGAGCTGATGGTCTATACAAGTTTCAAAGTCCCTCTTCTCAAGTGTCCAAGTCTCTCCCTAGTCTCAATTCTAGTGTAGCTCTGGTTTCAAATAATTGTAACCCTAGTACATCATGTAATACTTTACTTAATTCTAATGCCAATTGTATTACTGCTTGTACTCCTTTAGTTTCAATGAATAAAAGTGACTTTTTATGTGCTAATTCACCTCTTGTTCATGCTACTACCCTTGCTAATTCTCAGTCTCTACAGCACCCTAATGTTTCTAATATTATTCCTAATAGCAAGTATGCCCTGTGGCATACAAGGTTAGGACATCCTCATTACCAAGCTCTTGCAGAGGTGCTGAAAACCTTTAATATTCCTATACCTCCTAAGTCTCAAGCTGAACTCTGTACTGCCGGTTGTTTAGGAAAATCTCACAGACTGCCTACCTCTTTATCCACTACTGTGTATGCACAACCTTTTGAGTTAGTGGTGTGTGACTTATGGGGACCAGCTCCCATACAGTCTTGATGTGGTTACACCTATTTTTTGACCTGTGTAGATGCCTTTTCCATATTTGTTTGGGTCTTCCCTTTGAGACTTAAATCAGACACACTCACTCAGTTTGTCCAATTCAAAACCATGGTTGAACTTCAATTCAACTGCAAATTAAAGTTGTTCAGAGTGATGGAGGAGGTGAATTTAGGCCTTTCACCAAATATCTCAATAACCTTGGCATTACTCATAGGTTTACATGTCCTCATACCCATCATCAAAATGGCATAGTTGAACGTAAAAATCGTCATATTGTAGAAACAGGTCTAGCATTATTAGCTCACTCTAACTTACCTCTCAAGTTTTGGGACCATGCTTTTGTCACAGTTGCTTACCTAATTAATAGGTTACCTAGTGTGTCTCTTGCCAACCAGTCCCCTTATTTCAAGCTTCTTAACAAAATACCTGACTACTTTCATCTTAAAATTTTTGGTTGTGCCTGTTTCCCGTTCCTTCGTCCCTATAACTCTCATAAGTTGGATTATCGGTCCCAAGAGTGCATATTTCTTGGCTATTCTACCATTCATAAGGGTTATAAGTGTCTTGCTGGTAATGACCGCATTTACATTTCCAGGGATGTCCTTTTTCATGAAACAAAATTTCCTTACTCCCTTCTATTTCCCTCTTCTTCCCCTGCTGCATCCACATCACCCTCTTCTACTTCTTCTGTCTGGTCTATACCAGCAGTTCCTGCGTCTGCTGTTCCTCTAACTCAAGTCAATTATATTCCTGCTACACCTACTTCATCTAGTCCTTGTAGCAGTCCTATTTCTGCTCCTATTAATTCTGCCAATTCTCCCATCATAACATCTCCCAACAATACTTCCTCTACTTCTGCAAACTCTCCTTCCCACTCTCCCATTACTCGCTCTTCTGTCACCCCTCTCACATCTGATATTGCAGAGGCTAGCACCATTTCTCCATCCTCTGTCCAAGAGAATAGGTCTCTTCCCAGCCTTGTTTCAGCCTCCCAACAACCCTCTATACATCCCTATAATACTCATTCCATGCAAACTAGAGCCAAAAGTGGCATTATTAAGCCTAGACTTCACCCTACTCTTTTACTCACACATATGGAACCTACTTCAGTTGGTCAGGCTTTGGCTTCTCCCCATTGGTCTCAGGCCATGAAAGATGAATATCAAGCATTATTAAAGAATCAGACTTGGACCTTGGTGTCACCATCTGTTTCTAGGAAGCCAATTGGTTGCAAGTGGGTATTTAGGGTGAAGGAGAACCCTGATGGCTCCATTAACAAATACAAGGCCAAGTTGGTAGCTAAAGGCTTCCATCAGCAAGTTGGCAGTGATTTTACGGAGACCTTTTCTCCCGTGGTAAAGCCTGTTACAGTCAGAACTGTCTTGACTCTTGCAGTCTCACAAGTGGCCTATACAGCAGATTGATGTGAACAATGCCTTTTTAAATGGCACCCTTGAGGAGGAAGTCTATATGCAGCAGCCTCTTGGGTTTGAAGCTGCTGACAAGGCTCTTGTACGCAAGCTGAACAAAGCTATTTATGGGCTCAAGCAAGCCCCTAGAGCCTGGTTTGACAAGCTTAAAGGTTATTTACTGCATCATGGTTTTCATGCTAGCAGATGTGATCCTAGTATGTTTCTCCTTCACACTGCAAGCTTAACCATAATGGTGCTGGTGTATGTTAATGATATTATCATCACTGGTAATTCTGCCTCCTTTATTCCTGCATTAATCAAAAATCTGAATACTGATTTTTCTCTCAAACAGCTAGGCAAGTTGGACTATTTCCTTGGCATAGAGGTTACACACTTGCCAAATGGTTCACTCCTTCTCTCTCAAGCTAAATATCTGACTGATTTGCTGGCTAAGATTAACATGCTCAATGCTAATGGCATGCCTACTCCTATGGTGTCCACAAGTAAATTGTCTAAACTTGGTTCTGAAGCTGTTTCTGATCCCACTCAATTCAGATCTGTTGTGGGGGCTCTTCAATATGCCACTCTCACCAGACCTAAAATTTCATTTTTGTTAACAAGGTTTGCCAATTCTTGTCTAATCCCTTGGAGGAGCATTGGAAGGCAGTTAAAAGGATCTTAAGGTACCTCAGTGACACTCTGCATCATGGCTTACTGATTCAGCCGGCCTCAGCCCATCAACCTCTATCTTTGCTTGGGTTTTGTGAGGCTGATTGGGCATCAGACCCTGACGACAGAAGGTCTACCTCCGGAGCTTGTGTTTTATCTAGGTCCAAACTTGATATCTTGGTGGTCTAAAAAACAGCAGTTGGTATGGGTGCAGTCCCTTCTTCAAGAACTTCACTGCAGAATTCATACTCCCAAACTTCTCTGTGACAACCTCAGTACAGTTACTCTTGCTCATAATCCTGTGCTGCACAATAGGACCAAGCATATGGAATTGGACATATTCTTTGTAAGAGAAAAAGTGCTCAATAAAGAATCTCATAGTTGAGCATGTGCCAGCTCAAGATCAGCGGGAAGACTTACTGACTAAGCCTCTTTCAGCAGCCAAATTTCTCCCTCTTCGTGACAAACTGAGAGTGTTCAACAAACTTAGTCAGCTTGATGCATCCTCAGTTTCTAAGGGGGAATAATAGAGTAAATAGGGCTTAGTGTATGTTAGTTATGCCAGCTGTATTCTGTTAGTTTGTTATGCTGATGTGTAACAATTGTTTTGATTCTAGCTGCTCTATATAAGAGCCTCTGTATTCTTTCATTGTGATTGATCAATACATGACATACATACTTTGCTTTATCCTTTTCTCTCTTACGATACTCTATCAAAGGGAAATTTAACAGCATGAAAGAGTTCACTGGATCTCTATACTCTTTTTATAATGGTTCTTAAATAAGATTTCCATCAGAAAACATATAGAATCAAAAAATTTTGATGCATGCATTAGTCAGTCAGTATATGGTTACAAGTTGTGGATACTGGATACACACAGTAAGTACTTTCCACACTAAGAATTGTACCTGATCCGGAAGGAGGGAACCACTCTGATAAGTTTTGTCAACAGCATGGTGGCGAATGGTCAGTTTGGAAAAATCTTCATCAATATATATTCTTTCATTTCCCGGAGTTCCTCCAAATGCAACTCCAACTGGCTTTGGATGTGATTGGTAAGCTCTACCGGTAGGATGCAGGTGGCTATACACAAAGTTTTTTTCCTTGCCTGTCAATAAAAACGAATAGTTTCAGACAATCTTATCACAGTCCTAAAAAAAGAGAGAGCAAAACAGAAACAACTAAAGGAATACTTTCATAATTACTGCCTACCAGTAGGTGGAAATACATGAAACAGTGGGTTTAAAGAATATAAACAACCAGCGGTTCCATAGAAGACATCTTTATTTTCAAGACCTTCATTAGTTTGGGCACCTATAACAAATTTCCTGATTGCAGAATTTCCCTCATGATCATTTCCCGAACTTGCAGCAACCAAAATTAGCAATGGGCCATGGTAACCTTCAACACGAGACCAAAATCTGTTGAGGCCTCTTCCATGGGTTGATGAACTATATAACACAATAGACAGCTATGTCAATATTCTGCCCCGTAATTCTTACTAAAAAAATTACAAAAGTTTCAGATCAAACAAACTCAAATTCTATGCCAATAATAAGCAAAGCAGAAAAAAATCATAGTAAGTGTACCTTTTTTAACATTTAAAAAGAAAATTTGACAAGTGTCTCAGACTAGTAAAACCAAAATAGCATGATGAAGCTACAATTAAAGGATCAGAGATACAAACCGATAAATAAGGTTATCATTCATTCCAGCTCCATTGCTAATAAAGGCTCTAGAAATCTCATCATTTATTGTACTTCTCTGTGTGATAGAAATTGCCCACGCCCTTCCTTGGGTTAAAATATAATCACATGCAGCTGTAGATGAGATTTCTTCAACAGAGAAGGAATCAGAGGATGCCAATTCATCCTGCCACCCAATCAAGAAATTATTTGATCAGACCTTACAGAACCTATAAACCACATGGAACTTACTTTCTTTCATACAAACAACTAATAATATAGAGAGAGAATGCCAGTGTCAATGGTTTTAAATGATAATGATAATATAATCCAAAATACACGCATAGTTGAAAATGGTAAATATTAATCATATAACACATAGAATGAAGAAAGGAGGAAAAAATATCGTGCTGAATTGGGGTGTGTGTAAGTTTGGTTGTGGGGTCAAAATCTGATTCAAAGGGTAAAAGTTAATATAGTTCACATAGTCTACAACTTTTTATAGAACGCGGATTTAATCACTCCCAACTGTTAAACTCTAAGTTTTCTAACAGTACGTTTGGATAAACAACTGAATTCAGTTTTTATTTATTAAATGCTTATCACATAAAAGTTCATATACAAATTATTTCTTCAATTGAAGAGAGAATAATGACAAATTCTGCATAAACTCTGAATGACGTGTTTGAGGAGCTATACCGGATTATATGATAATAAGTTGAAAACAATTTATGGACATATCCTAAGTTCCTCAATTTATTTTAACACACAATTTATTAACTAGAATATATGAAATATATAAACTTTTAATCACACATCTATTAATACCTAAATGATTTAAAATATGAGAACATATATTACCCCTTCAGTTACTAGCACTTGCAGTCTTGCATGAAAATACTGCTTTAAGCAATCAGGGAGGCATGGCACTGTACTCATGACCCATGTAACAAACTTCCCAACCGGAAGCTGAACGTCCAAGCTCGCGATATCACAATCCCACACATCAAACCCATCTTTATCTTCAACACACGACGTAACCGCTGACAACACCAAATGACTCAGATCAGGCACACTCACATTTCCCTTCCCTTTCAAATTCCTACCATCCCAAGACATAGCCCAACAAATGGAAAGAAGAAGAAACACATGGTTGGGAAGAAGGTACCCGTTCGCCTTGCAATCATCATCCTCTGATTCGAATTCCAAATTCACAGGCACATCAGCTTTTCTTGCAACATCAATGAATACTCTAATAAACTTGTTCAGCAAAGTGGAAGCAGAAACCCTAGCACAACACTTGTTATAGCCTTTCACAAATTCAACCCAGTTTATTCCTCCTTTACCAGAAATGAAAAAGTGACCAACTAAGGATGAACCTAAGTGATCCAATAACACCGGAAACGAATTTTTCGCGTTTTCTGCAGAGTAACTTCGACCTTCGCGAGTGAAACCGAAGCATTGCTAAAAACAACGAATATATAATTACAATTAAGAAAGATCAATTAATAAATAAATAATTAATATCCAGATTATGATAAGTACCTGCAGATTTTCTAAGGGAATTGCGTTTGTTTCGGAATTGGCGAACTTGGAGAAAGCTTTTTGAAGTATGGGAAGAGCTCCGGTGGAAGCTGCGACGTTTTCCACCTCCTGTTGTTCCGCCGGGACTCTCGGCTCCGATGACGTGGACGCTCCCATTGTCGGTTTCACGTCGTCACGGAAATCGAATTTTCTCAAATCTTCTATTAATTAGTTTATTGAGATATTATTGAGATAATCTGAAATCTAGATGTCCAAATGTTCAACTTAAAACCGTTGGATTAAACTAACGGCTGAGATTAGTTTGGCAACCGCATCCTAACATCCGTGCTCCCGCACAACACAATAAAAATCCACAAAATAAATTAATCTGATCGAAAACGACAGCGTTCCAAGTACGCAAGTCAAGTGTATTAGGAACCGGTGGTAAGTCTCCGGCAACGGTCGTCGGTAAATTGAAAAATGCCGCCGGCGAAGAAAGGGAAAACGAAGGCTGGATCAAAGGAAACGACTCCTTCTGAAAAACCTAACAATTTTCCGTCGTGTATTCGGTGCATGCCTCCTTCATCCGTCGCTATAACCATCCACGCTAAACCCGGTTCCAAGTCCGCGTCCATAACAGGTCTTTCTCTTTCTCTCTCTGTAAGTATTAGTCGATGAAATTGCAGTGTTTTGATTCTTAGTTTTGCTGATAAGTAGATGTGAGCGATGAAGCTGTTGGTGTGCAAATTGATGCACCGGCGAGGGACGGTGAAGCAAATGCTGCTCTTCTTGATTACATCAGCTCTGTAAGCCATTTTTCACACTCTATGTAACACCGACAACTCTGAAAAAATGTGTGAATATGTGCCCGACACCCCGGCACTTGTCATTACATTTAATTTATTCATTTTTTTAAATTGTTACTGGTGGGTACTCATATTTCAATTTTGGTTATATTTTGCCTCTAAAACCTTGAATGATGAAAATTAACTGCTGCATTTAAGTACAAAATTTACACTAAAGTTGTGTTAGATTATTTCACTTCAAAGTTCAAACTAAGCTTTAATCAAATCAATTTTATTTAAAGCCACTTTTATCAAACACTTGCCCCAATGCAGAGTAATTTTCAGGTTTCATCGTTTCTGGATAAAACATTATGGCTGAAATTGATCCATGTAGCTGACCTGACTTAGTGGGATACAACTTGGTTGTTGTTGTTGTTTTTGTCGTTGTTGATATGTATCTGTTCATGGATTTTTACTTGTTAGTTCAATTAGCATTGGGGAAACGAAAAACTAGTTGAATAATTGAGTTTGTCTCTTGAGATTCTTATGTTCGTTGTTGTGGTGATTTCAGGTTTTAGGTGTAAAACGAAGACAAGTATCTTTAGGTACAGGTTCTAAGTCAAGAGATAAAATGGTGATTGTGGAAGATGTAACTCAGCAATATGTTTTTGATGCTTTGGATAAAGTCTCAAAACAGTAGTTATGAGAGCAGTGAAAATGTGTTTTTCTTGGTGAGACTTCATGCGGCTTTAAACTATTATTCTTCTCAAGAAGTTGAAGGCAGAGTATGTGATTACCTGTTTTTCTGTTAGAAAACTATCAATATGCCCTTAATACTTTAAAACCAGCATTTAGTAGTGTAATTTCATGTCGATTTATGCTGGTTATATTACATATTGATGAATGTTGGCCTCTTGTTTGTTGAGTTACTATATTTTTACTTGTAATATGCTCTTAAATTGGTGGTATTTTTATTTTATTCAAAACTTTAATTGTGTACATTATAAGAATGATTTGATATCCATTAATCTCTTATTGATATAGATACTTTACAACAATCCACTGCAAAACATTTCCATTCTGCAGGTACCTCATCCTTTGATTTGAACTTGTCTTTATCATGAGGATAGGAAGAATTAGCAGTGCTGCTTTCACATCATTTTCGACAGAGTATTTCTCAGCTAGTGCATGTAGCTACCTGTTTTGAGTTTGATAAAAGAAAAAACAGAGAATCACAAGACCACTGGAATTAATATGGCATCAGTAACTTGTGCACATTTTGCTGAAAATAATGTATAAATTTTTATGTTGGATCTTTTAGTAGGTTTATGTCTAATTTGCTTATTGTTTCTTTCCTTCTACATGACTGCTATTGGTTATTGCAAAATCTAAGCTGAGCTGAGAGTAGTTTTACTAAATTGTTGTCATTTTTACCAGAAAAAAAAATTGTTGTGAAGATTTTGGGCATTACACACGTAAAATCAGATATATCTTTTGTTGGTAAAAAACAATTAAGATGAATGGATAACTTGGTGATAAAATTGTTTTATATATTTATTTAGTTGTAAGAAAGAGACATTAACATTGATCTATTATTTACTCAATAAATAATCATTTTTTTAAGAACAATAAATAATCATTAATATCATATGTTATATTCGAGTGAAAATGACCCATATCACTTAAAATGAAATACAATTCAAAACATGAATATTGAATAGTTAGAGAGAAGCTCTATCTTCTCTCTAAAACTAGGTTTTTGTTCCATATGTTTGAGCGCTGCCTCCTTTTTGTAAAGGTTTCATCCCCACGATCGGAACTCGTCTCCTCCATATCCCCGGTGGAGATTCCTCCCTCATTCTGAGTAGTGGTGTTCAAAATCAAAGTGGTTCAATAGAAAAATACAAAATCGAATTAAATCGAAACCGTAAAAAACTGTATTTGGTTTGGATGTGTTTGAGTCATTTTTTAATAGAACCGCACAGTTCGGTTTGGCTTGCGGTTTGTATTTTACAAACTAAATCAAACTGCATTATACTAAAATTTTACTAATCAATATATATTTCTTTAATTTTTTAAAGAAATCAACATGTATTATCTGTATATTTTATCATATTCTTTATATAATATTTATTTTAATTTACAAATCATAAAAAATAAAATATTATTCATTTACAAATACTCTTTTCATAAAATATATTTTATTGTATTCTTTGTATAATATTTATTTAAGAATATAAATTTATATATATTATTCTTTAAATTTTAAATAAAATTATAATACGCAATTTTATGTATTAAATTATAAATTTATTTTGACAATTATAAAAAATTTTATGGTAATGTATGAATGATTAAACACAATATTTTCTTGTGTATGTATGGTTTAATAATTTTTTTGTAAAAAATCAAATAAACGAACCAATACAAACTGCATTAGTTTTGTTTGATTTGGTTCGGTTTTATTTTTAAAAGTCAATCGAATCAAGCTGGACTGCACGTTTTTTCTCTTATAGTTCAGATGATTTTTTACTTCAAAACCGCTCAAACTGTACCGTGAACACCCCTAATTGCAAATCAATCTTCTCTCATTACCTTTTCTTTGAACCACTCATTTCTTCCATCATCAATCTCCACCAAGTTTCTCTCCTCTCTATCAACAACTATCAAGCTCTCATTGCTCAGATTAAGTATGATCATGTGCTTTTAATTCTAAAATGATTTATATCAACAAAGGGTTTGTATTTGTACGGACATGGATATCGACCTCTATCATCAGGAAATATGAAATCGCTAAAATATTATGTTTGTGTATCTGTTATAGTTATTATTATTATGTTTTCTTGTTTGTTCAAGATTTGTTAGTTGTTCTTAAGTTTAGTGTTTTTTAAGTTTGTAGTCATGGGGTTTGTTAAATGTCCAAAATAGGTGTGGAAAAAAATGTGTTTATGGGTGAAAATTCAACAATGATTGTTGTATATCATATTCTCTTTTCCATCCAACAAATGACTCCTTCAAATAGGATGAGTTTAACCAACTTTAAAAATCCGTATAATCGAACAGTGTGTCACATAATTAAAGAAATAATTTGTAATTGGATAGATTTAAATATTGCGGTTCCTCAACTCACCTATGGTATGTGGAAGAGTTTTGTTTGGTTGCTTGAAGTAAGAAATTGAATTAGTAATACTCTATCATTTTCTAAATTTTCAAAGGTTTTTGATGTCCAAATCTTGGTAGATTTTTTTTTATTAAACGGTGGTAGAGTTAGTTAATGATTTTGCCGTTAAAATGTGGATGAAAAATGGCATATCACATTGTGTCTCATCTTTATATTTTATAGGCGTGTTTGTTTCAAGGTTAGAAATTTTTTTTTCAAGAATATGATTATGGAAATACAATATTCTCATGTTTAATTCAAATTTTAAAAAATTATTTCAATGAATTTTTATTCACATGAATCTTATTTACATATGATTCTTTTAATTTTGTTTCAAATCTTAAAGGGTGGAAATATAACATTCCCATAAAAATAACTTCAACCGACTATAACTTTGCACTACTAATCACATTTATTTTTATTTTTATTTTTATTATAATTTTAAATTACACAAATTTACAATTATTTCTATAAAATCTTAATTTCTACCAAACACGTAAATAAAAATAATATTCTTGAAAATAATAATCTTGAAAATATCATTTCAAAAAATATAATTTGAAACCTTGAAAGAAACAATATCCTATCTATTTTATCTAACAAACTTCGGTGAAACACGGCTTTGTCTCCTAGATATATTGCTTACTTGCTTATTTGACAAGTAATTGTTTCCCAAAGTCCGAACAACACTTCCTTTATCACAATCATAAATAAAGAGGATTTGTTCACATATATGTAAGAATAAACAAATTAAACAATGTGTAGTTTTATAATAATTATATATTTGATGTATGTGCACCCTAAGAAAAATGATTTATGGACAAATAAAATTTGTATATAAGATAACTTTGAAATTTTATTATTAATTAAATATAAAACATCTAATAAATACACAAGAATAAATTTCATTGATGCATGTCTCATATATCTTCTATAAAGTAATTGTTGGACTTTCATTGAAGGATTTTTCCGCTAATTAGATAATTATATGTTGGACATTTATGGAAGGATCCTTACCATCTATAAGGTAATTTTACGTTGAACTTTTATAGAAGGATCTTTGCCGCTTATAAGACAATTATGTGTTGGACCTTCATGTAAGAATTCTTGTCGCCGGTGAGACAATTATATGTTGGACCTTCATAGAAGGATATTTTTCGTCTATAAGAAAATTCTACATTGGATCTTCATTAAAAGATCTTTGCCGCCTATAAGACAAAGTATGAGTTGGACCTTCGTTGAAGGATCCTTGTTGTCCAATAGACTGCACAAAGTACACTCCCTAAAAACAACAAAGATTGGATATACATAAAACCAATAGAACAAATACGTAAGATAAGAAAAACAATCAATATATTTTCAGCAACCATGTTTGAATTAAATCACCCAATAATAATCTATTTCCAATGAAATACCAAACAAAAATTGATTTAAGCAATTTGTCAAGCACTTGGTGTGCAATCTATTCAAAATAGATTTTTCTATGATTTTGTTGATATGTAAATTCAATTACAATCACATAGATTGTAATCAACTCAACAAAGCATTTTGAATTATTAAACAAAGAGGTTATCTATATGTATCGATTGCATAATCAATTATTTCACAATGTACGTAAATGTAAATGAGAGAGAGAAAGAGAGATACAAGGATTTGTTTAGGTAGTTCCCCAATCGACCTTGTTATAGGTATGTCTACCCCAAATTCCAATAGAATCGAGATAATGAAAATTATCCTTTACAAATGTAGTTTACATGAGAAAAAGTAGCAATCCAACCCTCTAAACTCTATGGTTGATGTTGATCATAACTTCTTCTCTCCCCTTGATGAGAGCTCGATCAAGTAACCCGATACTTCTAATTTGATCATCCGGTTACCGTTACTCCTTTGATAGAAGCTCCATTCTTCAAAGCATTCACTTAGATGAATCCAAATTGCGAATGTATCGTGACCCAAGATTACCAAAGTGATTCTCCGGTTATCGTTACTCCTTTGACAGAAACCTCCATTCTTCAAAGTTTTCACTGGGCTAAACCCAAATTGCACAATCTTGTGAAAAAATCCCAAATAAATCCTTGACCTTGGAAGAAAATCCCAAATGAATTTATCTTGAAACCCCCAAATACCTTTCAACCCAATCGATTACACCAAATTCTAATTGGACCTTATCAAGTTATCTCTTAATCACACAACAAAAATGATTATGTGTAGTTGTTGTATGTATGCAATGAGAGAGGATGAAGATGATGAAAATCTTTGTATATTTTTGGTTTCAATAGTGAGAAATGATGCATGAATGACTATATATATATATATATATATATATATATATATATATATATATATATATATATATATATATATATATATATATATATATATATATATATATATATATATATATATATATATATATATATATATATATATATATATATATATATATATATATATATATATATATATATATATATATATATATATATATATATATATATATATATATATATATATATATATATATATATATATATATATAT